TGTGAAAAAAGTCCTCCAACACGAAAGTTCTATTAAGCAGTGCCTTATAAATGTCCCACATCACGAAGGTTTCAGGAAGCAGCGTCTTGAAAATAGCCCGAATCCCAGAGATTCCACTGGGCAATCTCTTCCAAAACTCCCTCAGCATGGAAGTGGTAAAAGGAAGTGTGCTAGATGAGGTCTCATTCGTGAAGCTTCCTTCCCAATCCACTGAGACGCTGCCACGTGACCTCCATATGAATCAGAGTACCAGCGATGGATCGATGGTCAAGAAATGGTATAGAAGACTGCTATTCCCCCTGATCCTAGTCCCAGACCGGTCTGCTTCGTGATAACCATGGGGAACTGTATGCACTGCGAGAGAAGGTCCGCAGAGATTATGAAATTCTTATTAGATTCTTAAATTATTATTCTTACCATAGTACAACGGTGCAGGGTGCACCTCCAGAAACTGAACGGAAAAGAGCTGCTCCTTCAGCACATTTTTCAAAGTCAACATTGTCGACCCTCAAAACGAGATCACCGAACAGCGTCGGGGCCAAATTAGGGTGTAGATTTTTGATAGACAGCCCAACATTCGGACTATCAGCCACAAGTGTCCAGTCCCTTCTTCAGTGGCATTTGTCGCTCCTGTTGTAAATGCGTATCAAAAAATGCACTCAACCACGGAGAAACTCTCTAATTCAGCAGTACAGTGTGCTTGTGTCATTGTTTCCAAGATGCGGTGTGTTTCATAGTCCATTCTGTGAGAGTGATGGAGGAACGACATTATAAATTGCTTAATACTGCAGACTATATCATCTTACCATAGATATAAAATATATAGGTATAAATATATACCGGTAATCATCCAAGTAATCGCAAGACAAAGGTGCAGGGTGCACTCCGACCGATGTAACAGCGCAGCGGACAACCCCGACGACATCAAAACAACGCCGTTGCAAAGCCAATCTTACAGAGGGCAAAAGGAGGTGAGTATCCCTACAGAGACGCGTCTGGTGACTCACCTTTTGTCGTAGTAGACACAGCTCTCCGTCGTTGTGCTCTCGCAGCAGACTGGACTGGAACTGGGTTCAGGTGGTTTAGTAGTCGTCCAATGCCACCTTGCAGCGTCCCAGTGGATTAAGACAGAGCCTTCCGAAGAGGGACCTTCTAGCTCATATCTTTCTACCACCTCCATGTTGGGAGACATTTGCAAGAGACTGCCTTGTCGAATCTCTGGCATTGGAACTCTTTTTAAGATACTGCTGGCTGCAACCTCGGTGATGTGGTCCTTTTCCAAACTATTGTTTAATAGCTCAGCTCTGTCTCCACTGTTCAATTGAAAAGCCTGGGCTTTTGATTACATTTTGATGACCAATGCTGTACAGTCCACTATCTTATGCAGTTGAAGGACCCCGTCCCCCGCTCCTTTGGCCAGCTCGGAATCGAATCAGTCAGCAAGTTTTGGCAGAATCGCAAAATGCTTGCGTTACCACAGCGAGCACAGTTCCAGATCGCAATAGCTTTGACGGATGCCAAATTTAAACTTGTCCAAAATATTATTGGAAAATAAATTATTTCACTTTGAATTGAATTTTCACTTATCCAAAATATGTTAAGAAAATGAATTATTTCACTTTGAATTGAATTTTCACTTATCCAAAATATTTTTAGAAAATTGACACTTTGAATTGGAAAAATATAAAAATTTTGGTAAAAAATAATTTCAAATTCTCTACGTTTATTTGTACGTGTTGTTCGCTCGAAAAGTTTTTGTGAATGACGAAAGAAATGAATAGAACAAACATACCAGCAGTAGAATGGAAAGACCAGGTAACTAGATTACGGAAAAACTAAGCTACATGGGCGCTCCAAACATAAGCAAAAGCATGCATTGAAAAGCACTCAGAGTGAGCGAGAGAAATATTTGAATGGCCGTCGAAACAACTCTATCTAAATGTCAAAATATTCGGACTGCTTTGGGAAATTGGGGAATGTGTCCACACGTTGTCCGGGAAATGTAAGCTAATTGTTCCGCGGGATCTTAACATATTGGGCATTTCGCATCGACGCTATCGAAAGTTGTTGCTGGATGGTGTTCAACAAATAAACAAAACACCAGAGCGTTTTATATATTCCGGCCACTGTGTGGAACATCATCACAGTCCTTCAGAAGTGCTTCAGTGGGCAGAGGGGGATATAAAGCTGCCGAAGAGCTACTAGATGGACAGCGCCATGCAGTAAATCGATTTTAATAAAACAAAAGCATTTGTGATCATTGGCTAAGAGAATCAAACCCTTTTCCATTTAAATACGAAAAGTAATTAACGCATTCAAGAAAGCATCCTAATGCCCCTTAGCTCCTACAGGCGACCTCCCATTCCAAGCTGTGGGGGCCTACAGTTCCCGCCCTCGTCTCTAAAGGCACTTGCACATTGTTGGTCCAAATGCGGGAATGGTTCGAATGGATTGTGCCCTTTGGAGCCACTTCATTAGGTCGAGGAGCGTCCTAGCAGTCCGCTACCCCTTCTCCCGACCTTGAGCAGCAGCTGATACTAATAGTGGCTACTCCACTCCACCGCGTCCACTCATCGCATTGGTCATCCAGATGGCGATTGCACTGGAAATTCTGCGATATGTCCTCGCCATAAACGCAACGCACAGCCATCCCCAAGCAGGCGAGAAAGTAATTGGCTACGAGATTGGAGATCTCGGATATTTGCACCTTAGTAACGCTTCACTGCCAGCACCGCAGCTTTTATCTCCTTGGGCTCCTCTTCAAAGCCGTACAAGGAATGGAAACGATGCCACAGCAGTGAGTCTGCATCCGTATCCTGGAAAAACAGGCCATTATCACACCCAAGATTAGCTGCAAAGCAAAGTTACACTTTCGACAGCACTGGCGACGGGCCCTTCGTTGTGCAACATAGAGTGCCTATACATAGTGGCAAACAGTAGGCCAGCCGTCGAACAAAAGCAGCTGTCACGAGCAGCTACGGGACTTTAACGTGAAATCATTCAGTCTACTCCCTGAGATCGTCAGGAACACATCTAAATATTTCCAAATTCCAAATTCTAAATTCCAAATATTACATTTTTTCAAATTTTCGTTAGTTACTTTCAAGTTAATGTCGAAGCAATAGTGAACAAGTGTTAGGGGGGTCTTACACAATACGACCGCCTAGTGATGGTACCGTCCCACATCCTCCGCTTTTAGGATGTGGGAATGTGGATGGCATCACATGTCAGGTAGGAAGAATCAATAAAATCATAACAAAAATATCTCGTCAATAATTTACAGGCGTTTTCCGACGATCTTTTTCAACGCATAATGAGAACTTCTGTTACACACTTAACATACACGGATAACATAAATTTCAACACCTGTATCGGTGAGTGCCTAAATAGCTTTAATACCAGGTGTAGAATATTAACTTATGTTATTCTTACAGGAAATGTTTGATACAATTGATACATACATTGGGGATTTGGGGGCCTGAGGATTGCAATACTTTTCCCTGATAGTCGTGCAGGTAAGAGTCAAATATGTTTGCTTCATTAATAGATTATTGATTCTGTTTTCCTCTTACAGATATATCTTGATACTATTCTTGGGCCAAATGGTACCATACTGTAACTGTTCTGTTTTTTATTAAATAATATTAAAAATGGTGCGTACAACATGTTGCTGAATGTTATTCATGGGTTTGGGTGGGGCTGGTAAAGTTGAACTGGAATAAGGCTGCGGAGGGCAGATGTCTGAGATCCGAATGGTCCGTCATCGGACATTCGACTTGAATTGACGAGTTTATGGTATCGGCGACATCTGTCGAGTTATGGCAAGCAGTTTGAGGTCGAGTTTCTCACTACAACACTCACTACCCGGCACTCGAAGAGTATGCCAGTTGATATTCGATTTTTCATGCCTAGTTCTCATAGACTATTGTGGGAAGACTTGCGATATATCGCACTGAAAAGGATCTACCAGATTTAAGAATTTGGATTGGATCGCGTCTCAGTTTGAATAGTATTGAAAAAACCGTACGAGCCGTCATGGATCAGATGAGTGCTCGCGTAGGTCTTCCATAAAACTGAATAGAACGAAATGTTCTTTTAGGACTTTATTTACACATATAGAATATTATTTTCTTTAGTAATACATCGAGCTTACAACTATTCTGCGGTTTTTTCACACGGATTTATACATATATAAATATATTATATATGAATGTATGAATTTGTTTGCTTTTTCTTTTTTGACATTTGTGAGTGGGGTTTCGAATTAACCATTTAATCTGTAGAATATAATTAATATATATATATATAACATTATGTTTAAGCAACTTAAACATTACGGTTATTATGTTAACAAAACATAATGACATTCTGTGTTGCGAATGTCGTGAATTTTGCTCCTCATTTTGCTTAACGTAAATCCCCTCTAACATAGGTGTGTGTCTGTGTGTGTGTGTGTGTTTATCAGACTAGAGTCGCAACTGTCCCAAAGCCTTTCCTGCCCTGCACCCACTTTCCTTGAGGGGCTTCCCCTTTTCTCTTATACAACTATTAAACTTACAACTACAAAAAAAAATAAAATAAAAAACCTCGGGAATGGGGCGAGGGGTGAGGGCATGCGATGGGAAAAATGATCGACATTTCAATATGTGTATGGGCTATGGAAGCTTCTTTAGAAGCCGATCCAAAATACGGCGTCCTGGAGAGGCCCACGAAAAGTTTTCAAGTTTTAAGCAAAAGGGACTTTAAGCATTATTAAACAGGAAACTTAATGATTAGCTAGAGGGTTTTCTTTTCACAAGAAACAAAAGAAAATTTAGCCAACTAATAAACTTTGAGGGAAGGATTTATACATTTAAAGAGCAAAGAAAAACAACCAACAAATCCAGAAGAAACACAAAAGCAAAAATAATAATAAAAGTTAACTAAGTTTCAGCTAAGAAAAGAAATGCCTTCGGGACCAAAGTTGCCAATTCTTTAGTGAATTCAGAAGAGGATCAGTGTATGTGTGTGTGTGTGTATTTGTGGGCGTGTGTGTGTAAATGTTTTTATGTGAAATTCTATTTTTATAGTGTGATGAGTTGTGTGAGTTTTGCTCAGAGCTGCTTAAGAGTCTAATGCAGTCATGATGTCATCCAGAGTTCCCCTGGAGATGGCATGTCGGCTGGAGCTCAGATGAAAGTCGTGCTCTGTGGCGGATAGAGGAAGTCTTGGTTAAAACCACGATCTGCTGCGAGAGGGGGGTGGGGCTTTAACATGGGGGCCACAACTCACCCGGTAACGTAACCAGATCATCGTCCTCGGACGGGCGCTCGGACTCAATGGCGAAGAATGGCGTGAAATAGTTAAGTTTTGTGAAAAAAGAAGCACAACCTCTGAAAAAAGTAAATAAAAATAATAGATTTACAAAATTTTTTAAGGAAAACTAGTCCATAAAAAAAAATATGAAATATTTTTAAAGACCCAAATCTATAAAAAGTCGTTTTGGACAAATATAGTTTATATTTTTTCTTTTATAGCTTTTTCTGGTATATTTTTATCTTTGGAAAGGAGTACCACACGAAAAAAAAAAGTGTGAAAAAAGTCCTCCAACACGAAAGTTCTATTAAGCAGTGCCTTATAAATGTCCCACATCACGAAGGTTTCAGGAAGCAGCGTCTTGAAAATAGCCCGAATCCCAGAGATTCCACTGGGCAATCTCTTCCAAAACTCCCTCAGCATGGAAGTGGTAAAAGGAAGTGTGCTAGATGAGGTCTCATTCGTGAAGCTTCCTTCCCAATCCACTGAGACGCTGCCACGTGACCTCCATATGAATCAGAGTACCAGCGATGGATCGATGGTCAAGAAATGGTATAGAAGACTGCTATACCCCCTGATCCTAGTCCCAGACCGGTCTGCTTCGTGATAACCATGGGGAACTGTATGCACTGCGAGAGAAGGTCCGCAGAGATTATGAAATTCTTATTAGATTCTTAAATTATTATTCTTACCATAGTACAACGGTGCAGGGTGCACCTCCAGAAACTGAACGGAAAAGAGCTGCTCCTTCAGCACATTTTTCAAAGTCAACATTGTCGACCCTCAAAACGAGATCACCGAACAGCGTCGGGGCCAAATTAGGGTGTAGATTTTTGATAGACATCCCAACATTCGGACTATCAGCCACAAGTGTCCAGTCCCTTCTTCAGTGGCATTTGTCGCTCCTGTTGTAAATGCGTATCAAAAAATGCACTCAACCATGGAGAAACTCTCTAATTCAGCAGTACAGTGTGCTTGTGTCATTGTTTCCAAGATGCGGTGTGTTTCATAGTCCATTCTGTGAGAGTGATGGAGGAACGACATTATAAATTGCTTAATACTGCAGACTATATCATCTTACCATAGATATAAAATATATAGGTATAAATATATACCGGTAATCATCCAAGTAATCGCAAGACAAAGGTGCAGGGTGCACTCCGACCGATGTAACAGCGCAGCGGACAACCCCGACGACATCAAAACAACGCCGTTGCAAAGCCAATCTTACAGAGGGCAAAAGGAGGTGAGTATCCCTACAGAGACGCGTCTGGTGACTCACCTTTTGTCGTAGTAGACACAGCTCTCCGTCGTTGTGCTCTCGCAGCAGACTGGACTGGAACTGGGTTCAGGTGGTTTAGTAGTCGTCCAATGCCACCTTGCAGCGTCCCAGTGGATTAAGACAGAGCCTTCCGAAGAGGGACCTTCTAGCTCATATCTTTCTACCACCTCCATGTTGGGAGACATTTGCAAGAGACTGCCTTGTCGAATCTCTGGCATTGGAACTCTTTTTAAGATACTGCTGGCTGCAACCTCGGTGATGTGGTCCTTTTCCAAACTATTGTTTAATAGCTCAGCTCTGTCTCCACTGTTCAATTGAAAAGCCTGGGCTTTTGATTACATTTTGATGACCAATGCTGTACAGTCCACTATCTTATGCAGTTGAAGGACCCCGTCCCCCGCTCCTTTGGCCAGCTCGGAATCGAATCAGTCAGCAAGTTTTGGCAGAATCGCAAAATGCTTGCGTTACCACAGCGAGCACAGTTCCAGATCGCAATAGCTTTGACGGATGCCAAATTTTCACTTGTCCAAATTATTATTAGAAAATAAATTATTTCACTTTGAATTGAATTTTCACTTATCCAAAATATTTTTAGAAAATAAATTATGTCACTTTGAATTGAATTTTCACTTATCCAAAATATTTTTAGAAAATTGACACTTTGAATTGGAAAAATATAAAAATTTTGGTAAAAAATAATTTCAAATTCTCTACGTTTATTTGTACGTGTTGTTCGCTCGAAAAGTTTTTGTGAATGACGAAAGAAATGAATAGAACAAACATACCAGCAGTAGAATGGAAAGACCAGGTAACTAGATTACGGAAAAACTAAGCTACATGGGCGCTCCAAACATAAGCAAAAGCATGCATTGAAAAGCACTCAGAGTGAGCGAGAGAAATATTTGAATGGCCGTCGAAACAACTCTATCTAAATGTCAAAATATTCGGACTGCTTTGGGAAATTGGGGAATGTGTCCACACGTTGTCCGGGAAATGTAAGCTAATTGTTCCGCGGGATCTTAACATATTGGGCATTTCGCATCGACGCTATCGAAAGTTGTTGCTGGATGGTGTTCAACAAATAAACAAAACACCAGAGCGTTTTATATATTCCGGCCACTGTGTGGAACATCATCACAGTCCTTCAGAAGTGCTTCAGTGGGCAGAGGGGGATATAAAGCTGCCGAAGAGCTACTAGATGGACAGCGCCATGCAGTAAATCGATTTTAATAAAACAAAAGCATTTGTGATCATTGGCTAAGAGAATCAAACCCTTTTCCATTTAAATACGAAAAGTAATTAACGCATTCAAGAAAGCATCCTAATGCCCCTTAGCTCCTACAGGCGACCTCCCATTCCAAGCTGTGGGGGCCTACAGTTCCCGCCCTCGTCTCTAAAGGCACTTGCACATTGTTGGTCCAAATGCGGGAATGGTTCGAATGGATTGTGCCCTTTGGAGCCACTTCATTAGGTCGAGGAGCGTCCTAGCAGTCCGCTACCCCTTCTCCCGACCTTGAGCAGCAGCTGATACTAATAGTGGCTACTCCACTCCACCGCGTCCACTCATCGCATTGGTCATCCAGATGGCGATTGCACTGGAAATTCTGCGATATGTCCTCGCCATAAACGCAACGCACAGCCATCCCCAAGCAGGCGAGAAAGTAATTGGCTACGAGATTGGAGATCTCGGATATTTGCACCTTGGTAACGCTTCACTGCCAGCACCGCAGCTTTTATCTCCTTGGGCTCCTCTTCAAAGCCGTACAAGGAATGGAAACGATGCCACAGCAGTGAGTCTGCATCCGTATCCTGGAAAAACAGGCCATTATCACACCCAAGATTAGCTGCAAAGCAAAGTTACACTTTCGACAGCACTGGCGACGGGCCCTTCGTTGTGCAACATAGAGTGCCTATACATAGTGGCAAACAGTAGGCCAGCCGTCGAACAAAAGCAGCTGTCACGAGCAGCTACGGGACTTTAACGTGAAATCATTCAGTCTACTCCCTGAGATCGTCAGGAACACATCTAAATATTTCCAAATTCCAAATTCTAAATTCCAAATATTACATTTTTTCAAATTTTCGTTAGTTACTTTCAAGTTAATGTCGAAGCAATAGTGAACAAGTGTTAGGGGGGTCTTACACAATACGACCGCCTAGTGATGGTACCGTCCCACATCCTCCGCTTTTAGGATGTGGGAATGTGGATGGCATCACATGTCAGGTAGGAAGAATCAATAAAATCATAACAAAAATATCTCGTCAATAATTTACAGGCGTTTTCCGACGATCTTTTTCAACGCATAATGAGAACTTCTGTTACACACTTAACATACACGGATAACATAAATTTCAACACCTGTATCGGTGAGTGCCTAAATAGCTTTAATACCAGGTGTAGAATATTAACTTATGTTATTCTTACAGGAAATGTTTGATACAATTGATACATACATTGGGGATTTGGGGGCCTGAGGATTGCAATACTTTTCCCTGATAGTCGTGCAGGTAAGAGTCAAATATGTTTGCTTCATTAATAGATTATTGATTCTGTTTTCCCCTTACAGATATATCTTGATACTATTATTGGGCCAAATGGTACCGTACTGTAACTGTTCTGTTTTTTATTAAATAATATTAAAAATGGTGCGTACAACATGTTGCTGAATGTTATTCATGGGTTTGGGTGGGGCTGGTAAAGTTGAACTGGAATAAGGCTGCGGAGCGCAGATGTCTGAGATCAGAATGGTCCGTCATCGGACATTCGACTTGAATTGACGAGCTTATGGTATCGGCGACATCTGTCGAGTTATGGCAAACAGTTTGAGGTCGAGTTTCTCACTACAACACTCACTACCCGGCACTCGAAGAGTATGCCTAGTTCTCATAGACTATTGTGGGAAGACTTGCGATATATCGCACTGAAAAGGATCTACCAGATTTAAGAATTTGGATTGGATCGCGTCTCAGTTTGAATAGTATTGAAAAAACCGTACGAGCCGTCATGGATCAGATGAGTGCTCGCGTAGGTCTTCCATAAAACTGAATAGAACGAAATGTTCTTTTAGGACTTTATTTACACATATAGAATATTATTTTCTTTAGTAATACATCGAGCTTACAACTATTCTGCGGTTTTTTCACACGGATTTATACATATATAAATATATTATATATGAATGTATGAATTTGTTTGCTTTTTCTTTTTTGACATTTGTGAGTGGGGTTTCGAATTAACCATTTAATCTGTAGAATATAATTAATATATATATATATAACATTATGTTTAAGCAACTTAAACATTACGGTTATTATGTTAACAAAACATAATGACATTCTGTGTTGCGAATGTCGTGAATTTTGCTCCTCATTTTGCTTAACGTAAATCCCCTCTAACATAGGTGTGTGTCTGTGTGTGTGTGTGTGTTTATCAGACTAGAGTCGCAACTGTCCCAAAGCCTTTCCTGCCCTGCACCCACTTTCCTTGAGGGGCTTCCCCTTTTCTCTTATACAACTATTAAACTTACAACTACAAAAAAAAATAAAATAAAAAACCTCGGGAATGGGGCGAGGGGTGAGGGCATGCGATGGGAAAAATGATCGACATTTCAATATGTGTATGGGCTATGGAAGCTTCTTTAGAAGCCGATCCAAAATACGGCGTCCTGGAGAGGCCCACGAAAAGTTTTCAAGTTTTAAGCAAAAGGGACTTTAAGCATTATTAAACAGGAAACTTAATGATTAGCTAGAGGGTTTTCTTTTCACAAGAAACAAAAGAAAATTTAGCCAACTAATAAACTTTGAGGGAAGGATTTATACATTTAAAGAGCAAAGAAAAACAACCAACAAATCCAGAAGAAACACAAAAGCAAAAATTCATATCTAACTATTAAAAATAGAAAATAATAAAAGTTAACTAAGTTTCAGCTAAGAAAAGAAATGCCTTCGGGACCAAAGTTGCCAATTCTTTAGTGAATTCAGAAGAGGATCAGTGTATGTGTGTGTGTGTGTATTTGTGGGCGTGTGTGTGTAAATGTTTTTATGTGAAATTCTATTTTTATAGTGTGATGAGTTGTGTGAGTTTTTCTCAGAGCTGCTTAGGAGTCTAACGCAGTCATGATGTCATCCAGAGTTCCCCTGGAGATGGCATGTCGGCTGGAGCTCAGATGAAAGTCGTGCTCTGTGGCGGATAGAGGAAGTCTTGGTTAAAACCACGATCTGCTGCGAGAGGGGGGTGGGGCTTTAACATGGGGGCCACAACTCACCCGGTAACGTAACCAGATCATCGTCCTCGGACGGGCGCTCGGACTCAATGGCGAAGAATGGTATCGGCGGGGTAGCCCCCCTGGAAGTCGGATCAATGCTGGTTATGTTGCAATTATGCATGGATATTAGCTCATCTGGCAATGTGGGCGATGGGGCAGCTTCCAGTGGACGAGGGGGTGTCACGACGAGATCCTGGTTGATGGAGGTATCGGTCGCTGCGCTCAAGGATTTGAAACTAGCCTCCGAGTCGCCAGAGTCGATGCGTGCTGCTGAACGCTGGTGGGGTACGACGCTCCTGCATGGACTAGATGTGGGCGTATGCAGCTGACGCACATCCTCCAAGGAAGTCTGGATTTCCAGTATATCCTCCTCGTCCTCGGCCGTCAGCGGTGGTTCTGCTTTGCCATCCACAACATCCAGGGCTGCACCCAGATCCATTGTTGCACCCAGATCCAGTATTTCACCGATATCATCTTTTTTCCGTTCCTCCCTCACCGATTCTTCCAGCACTAGCTTATCCAAGAGAGTCTCATCGACCAAATCAAGCAGGTCCTCATCCTTATTAGTTCCATCCGCTTTCTCATCGTTTGCGGCGCGCACCTCTCGTTTTTGTTCTAATTCCGATTTCACTTCTACCTCTGCTTCGGGCACTATTTCCGCTTCAATCAAGCTGGTAGCTCCGGCGTCCTTTTCTTTATCGGCAACGTTTTCGTCCCCGTGTCCGTTTCCGTCCGCTTTTACATTCGCTTCGGAATCCTTGTCGTTTTCGTTTTCGTTTTCTTCCCTATTCTTCGTTATGGTTGTTCTTTCGGCATCGAGATCTTCCTTTGCCTCGGTTTCTTTTTCTTTGTGGTCCTCCACTGCATTTGCGACTGGTTTCTCTTCTCCTTCGACTCGTTTTTCATTTGCTCCCACGACTTTCTCTGCTTCTCCGTCGACTATATATTTATCCTTATCGCTGTTGCATTTTTCTACTAACTTTTCTTCTGTCTCCATATCCGTCTCTGTTTTCTGTGACTCCTTCTTTTCGGTTAATTTCTCTGGCATTTGTGCCTTTTGAGGGGACCCGGACTTGGACCCGGCCCCCTTCTTCAGCTTCTCCTTCGGCTCCTGCAGCTCTTGCTCTGTCTCACTGTCGCTGATGGTCGTCGTCACGGAAATCTTCTTGCGCTTCTTGGGAACCGGAGTGCTTTTTCTTTGGGTGCGCGGCAGCTCGTTGGGCACTGGATAAAGGATAAAGTATAAGTTAAGGAAAAACAGGCTGGATCTTCGCTTACCAATGTACTCCTCATCTTCATCATCGTTCTCGGGCTTTTGATCATCTTCGAGACGCAGGCTGGCCAGTCCCATCACCGGGACACTCATGGCCGACCTCTTAGGCTTGCGATTCACCGGAGACCCGGAAGAACCGTTGCAGGAGCGGCGCTTATCCTTGCCCGTTGGGGTGGCAAGCAAAATATCCTCCAGCACATTCCCAGTGGCATCCACACGCTGAAGGCGCGTTGGTTTTGGCGAACCCCTGCGCTTCGTGGACAAGCCCAGCGTAGAGCGACGCTGGGTGCTGCTCTCATTGCTACCCAAAATCTCCACGGATTCGCTGAAAGACACCGACAGGTTGGACTTCCGCGGCCGCCCCTTGGTGGGGCACTTCAGTGTCTTCTTGGCCTTGCACACTGCTCCTTGCATCACGCTTCCCCTGAGCTGCTGGTCTGGCATCTTGACACGATTCAGCTTTACCATGCAGCCAAAGAAACGGGAGCCAAAGCGATCGATCAGCTCCTGCCTTCTTAGCTGTGCCGCCGCTTTGCTTGTTCTGGGCTGCTCTTCGGTCGTCGCTGTTGCGGCCAGCGTTTGCTTGAGTGAACGATTTTTACCACTATTCTGCACCAACGGTACCTTGATGTGTACTTTGGGCTTCTTGGGGGGCGAGGGGGTCTCTGGGACGTCACTGGTATTTGGATCCTTCCTCGGGCGACCGCGTTTGCGTGACCCCGGCATAGGTGTGCTTGAGAACTTGGGCGTTGATGTGGATATGGCTGTATTGGATGGGGATGGGGGGAATGATGTAATGTAACTCTCAATTTCTGTTGTGGTCAAACGCTTGAGGCGCACCACCACAGATTTGGTCAGCTGGGACGCGGATGCTGGCTGATGGAGATCGGCAAACATCTTTTGTTGGGCCTTGGTTTTTGGCGGAATCGAATGCTGCATCGAATCGTCCCCGTCATCCATACCATCCTTATCATCTGAATCATGATCGTTATCCTTATCCTTGTCCTTGTCCTTGTCCTTGCCCTTTGGTCCTTTGTCCTCGTCCGCCTCTTTGGTTAGTTCCCGGGAAACGGTGCGCTTTAGGCGGACGACGAAACGTTTGCAGGGCTCCACGGAAGCGTCCAATGCATCGACGTCTATATAAAATTCATGCATGTATAAGTATATGTATATCGAAATGTGTGCACGTGCAAGGGTGCATAGGTGTGCGTGTTCGTGTGCGTGTGCATGCCAAAATCCTTTGAGGTGGTCCATACTCGCCAAACGCTGTGCTTACCCGAATGATGCGACGAAGAGGTGGCGGCGGCGGCGGCCATCGCCGATGGTGGCTGCGGCGATGGTGTCTCTGGCAGTTTGGCAGTTGAGCTGCTGGAGTCCCGAACCCGTAGCGGCGGTGGGGTGGCTTTAACCATGTCGAACAACTCCATAATCTGTGTGTTGTGTTGCGTTGCGTTGTGTTGCGTCGCGTCGCGTTGTGTTCCCGTTCCCTCCTAACCACTGAAATGGCACATTTGGTTACAAGTTGCAGAAGTGCCTAAATAATGGCCGTTCCTTACCTGTGCAAGAGATTTGAACAGTTAAGCGGAGTCGTTCTTATATTTTTGCACCCAAATTCCTTTTCATTCAACAATTTGCACGGCAAGAAAATTAACGCGGACTAGACACCGACGCCAACACACACACACACACAAATAAACACACTCGCCATTCGCACACACGCGCCATATGCATCAAAATCAGTTGCCCATCGCGATGTCCATTTATCGATATACCGTGCAGAATTCGAGAGTGCGCGGGAATAATCAAACAATCACATATTTTTAATGTTACAAGTAAAAGAGCTAAAAGAGTATAAATTTCGACTGCTAAAATGTTTGCTGATGGTTCAGCTCTTAAAAGGAATTGTGCCAAGTAAAATAATTTGGTATTTTTGAAATATTAAATACCAATACAAGATGCAAATTTATGCAAAAACAGGGAGGCTTTTCGCATGGGAAACGATATCTAATCATCCCTGTGTGCAGATTTCAGCGATCACACTCAAACTTAAATTTAAATTTCATGCCTTAACGCCTTTCTTTAATTCAAAGTCGAAGAGAATATCAGCCATTATCGAACTCTGTTTTGTTCCAATTTCTTTTATTTGAAGGATTAATAAATACGATAGATTTGTACAATTAGTTAGACCATATGCTTTGCTTTCCGTTTCTTGTTTTTTTTTTTCGTTTCGTTTTGTTTTGATTTATTACAGCTAGCTTTAGGTTAACATTTTAAAAGGACTAGCACGAAGGAGTAATCCTCTCTCACCTCTGCATATAAATATTGCGTTTACATATACATATGTATGTATGTATATAGAGGGGTTTTTATATAGGTAGCGCATGCGAATACTTGGCTTGGAGTTAGCTAATTAGTTAAGGGCTGGGCTTGGGATTGGGCTGGGGATGAGAGAAAGTGCTCTAATAAAAAATTACATTAATTATATAAACAATTAAATACATTATAAAAGTACAAACATTTTTCCTTTTCTTTTTTTTTTAGCTGGGTGATATTTTCACTTTTTCCCTCTATCTCTATCTCTTTCTCTTTCTGTTATGTGTGTGTGTTCTCTCTGTCGTTTTCGTTTTCGTTTCGTGTGCTGCAATTTGTGTCATGTCCGGCGGCGGCTGCTGCACTGTCACGGCAGCGGCCACAAGCCCCCTTCCCACCCACAGGATCCTCCTCTACAATTCGAAAGGCTTAGATATACACCTTAAAGGCACTCCATCCGTGGAAGCATTTGGTAAAGCGGCGCGACTCCTTATTCTTCATCGTGAGGAACAGTTTGCGCGGCCTCTCCGGCTGCTTGATCCGCATATGCTGTATGTACACCTGTGCGGACTTGTACGCGAGCTTCACCTCCACCTCGCTGCACCGCGGCCCCATCCACAGGAAGACATGCTCCCCATTGTCGAGTATCATGATGTCGTCATCGGCCAGATCGTCCTGACAGAAATCGGCACACTTCTCGGCCACCGTGTAGTAGCCGCGCTCGTTCGAGCACCGGAAGAGCCGCGTGTAGTTCATGTACTCCGCATCCGTGTCGTAGGGTTTCCGGCCGCCAAGGGCCACCCAGAAAAAGTTCTCCGGCTCGTCGCCCTCGTTGAGGATCTAAGTGGAGTGCGTGGAGTGACAAGTGAACCTTTTAGTGTCCTTTTGATCACGAGAGCGGAATGCGGGGTGCGGGGAAACCACTTACCTGCAGGCTCACCCAAGGACTGTTGAACATCTGTTCGGCTATGTCCTGGACCAGTTTGGCCTCCTCATTGCAGGCCTTGCTGCCCAGCCACACGTACACGATGCCCGACTGCGATTCGTCCTCCGTTTCAAATGGCACATGGAGTATATAGCTGTTGGGAGAGAGCTTTCATCAGCGATTGCGATCAGAGGCAGAAGAGGGATTGACACCTACCAGAAAGCCGAGTTCAGATGCACTGCATCCGGATTGATTTGGATGAGGCGCGTGGTCAGGGCCCCGCCATTCGATCGCAAATGGAAGAACTCAACGGGCGCCTTGCCCTCGGCCGTGACGGCCTTGTCCTTGCGCTTGCCCGTGTGGATGATGAACTTACGCTTGAAGTGGGACATGAACTTGAGGTTCTCTTGCTGCTGGAAGATGCGCATCACCTCCAGCTCCTCGCCGAACATTGCCTTGAACTTCTTCTGCAGCGTGAACGTGAACGTCAGCCAGCCCATGTTGCCGGCATTGCGACCCTGCCAGAAATACACCACGCACTGGATCTCATCTTCGGGCTGCTGCTGCTGCTGGTGCAGCTGCTGCTGGCTGGGATTCCGACTCTCATCCGCTGTTGCTGGATCCGCTGTATCCTCTCCCGCTTCGGGCTCCTCGACGGGTATGCAGTAGCGACAGAGGAACACATAGCACTCGCCCGTGTAGAAATGGCCCAGCTCCTCCTCCGGCAGGCGGACGAACTTCTTGTTCTCGAGAACAAAGGCCTCCATCATTTCCAGGTCGTAGTTCCATTCCTCCTCCAGCTGCTCGGCCTCGGCCAGCGGCATGGCCGACTGGCGTGGCATGAACAGGGCAGCCAGATCCGTGCGCGTCTCCTGCTGCCGGGCCCACTGTGTGAGATTGGCCCCCGTCTTGGCCACGGACTTGGCCGTACGCGTAAAGTCTACGGCCATGACCTCATCCCAGCCGAGGAACTTGGTGCGGAAGATCTGCATCTCATTGCCCTCCGGGACGCGCATCACGAGGGCACACTCCGGCCGATCCATCATGTTGAACAGCTCCCGACTGAGCTTGACGGCCGCCGCTCGAACCAGGCGCGTGGATTTCTTGCCAAACCAGACGAACAGATCCGTGTAGCAGTCGAGGATGTAGACGTGCTTGCTGTTGAGGAGCGTGTGACAGAGCTTCTGCTCCGGCAGCTCCACCTGCGGCAGCTCCAGGTAGCCCATGCCCAGCTGGACCTGGTAGAGGCGCGGCTGCACCGGCTGGTAGTCGTCGGGGACATGCTCCTCAGGCGGCTGGGCCGCCGCCTCCTCCGCTGTGACGTCCAGTCCCTGCCAAAACTCGGCGCTCTCCTCGCCCTGCCGCTCCACATTAATCTCGCACTTGTTCTTGCGCTCCGTCTTATTGATCTTCTCAGCCATGAGGCGGGCCTTCGAGTTGAGCGTGTTCTTGGAGCTCTTGCCCAGCCAAATGTGAATGCGGCTGCCCAGATCCAGGACGAACGCGTGCCGGGGATCCAGCGAGGCCAGGGTGACAGCCACCGGCTCCAGGTGTACAGTGGCCCCATACGCATGCACCAGGTACAGCCGTGTGATGTGTATCATCTCCTCGATGTTGTAGAAACCGGTGGCCGTGCGCCCGCCCTCGATGTAGATGACCTCCGTGTCGAACAAAGCCAGAAACTCGTCCGACTCGTCGCCCTGCTCCTCGCGAATCGTCCGACAGCGGGCTCCCAGATAGTTCCTTAGATTAACCGCATGGATGGCCGCACAGGCACGCTTGTCGAGGGTGGCCTCGTTGCCGATCCAGAAGAATATCTCCCACGTGAGGTTGCCCAGGTCGTCGTACCGCGTTTTGAGCACAATGTAGCAGTCGCCCTCGTAGAACTTACCGTGCACCACCTCCTCGATCTTGTTGGGCAGAAAGTTCTCGATCTCCCAGATGGTCAGGCCCGGCTGCTGGCCGTCCTCCTTCTCGAAGAACTTGGAGTAGTCCAGCTGCGGCTTCTCCAGCGACTCGTCCCAACGTTTGGGCTTCAGCGATTCGGGCTTGCCGTCCTCCGGCAGCCCGAAGGCTTCGCCCTCGTTGTCCTTGTCCTTGGCAACGTCCTTCATGCCCTTGAGCACCTTGGCCGCATCCTGATCGCCATCGGAGCGTGGGCCGCGTCGCAGGCGTATCTTTCGCGCCGTCGAGTCCTTGGGCGTGGCTGTGGCAGGCATCGAGGGCGGTACAGCGGCTCCGGCCAACCGGAGTTGCGTCTGTAGGCTGAAATCAATGTTGTAGAACTCCAGGCTGGTGGCCTTGCTGGCCTCACTCGGCTTGGGGGGCATCACCAGGTCGGGATTGTTGCGCAGATCCAGCTGGTCGAGTCCCTCTAGCAGATGGATGGCATCGGGCAGTGTGATCAGGCGATTGCAGCTCAGATTCAGCTGCTTGAGGGCCCCGCACCGGCACACGCCCTCGGGCACCATCTCCAGTAGATTGTTGGCCGCCGAGAAGACCTCCAGAGCACCGAGCTTCCCAATGCCCGAGGGTATGCCCTCGAAATTCAGCTTGTTGTCGTTTACGAAGAGTCGCCGGAGCTTCGGGAGCTTGCAGAGGGCGGCGGGCAGGGCGGTTAGCTGATTGCGGCAGAGATTTAGGGACTCGAGGCGCTGCCAGGACTCCATGCTGGAGCTGAGCTCGTTAATCTCGTTGTCGCTGAGATTGAGACGCACCAGGGTGGTCACATTGTAGACGCAGTCGGGCAGCTTGGGCAGCGAATTGTGCGACAGATCCAGCTCACAGAGATTGGCCAGGCTGTCCAGGCTGGTGGGAAAGTTGAGGAGCGTCCGCTGCGTGCCGCTCATCTTCAGCACCTCGAGGCTCTGCAGGGAGGGCAGCTGGCGCAGCTGGAACAGCTCCAGCGGATTGTGCGAGAGGTCGAGGGTCTTCAGATTGGTCAGACGGCGCGTCTGGGGTGGCAAGGTTTCTAGGCGATTGTGCGACAGATCCAGAAACAGCAGATCCGTCAGATGGATGAACAGCGGGGTGGGTATGCACTCGATTTGATTGTGGCTCAGGTTGAGAACAATCAGATTTTTGGCCCTGTCCAGGCCATCGGGCACCTCCTTCAGCTTGTTGTGCGACAGGTCCAGCGTGGTCAGCTCCTCTAGGTGGAACAGCTCCGGCGGTATGCCGCTGTTCTTCAGCTGGTTGTGCCTCAGATCCAGCGAGCGCAGGCAGGTCAGTTCCGTCAGCTCGCCGAAGATCTTCTCCAGCTGATTGTGATTGAGGGAGAGATGCTCCAGCTTCTGCAGCTGCCCCAGCTCCTCGGGCACCTCTTGCAGCTGTGTGTGGTCCAGAGTGAGCCATTGCACCCGCGACATTTGCCGCATGGAGCTGGGGAATGTTTGCTAAAATCAACAATCAGAACACATTCAATCATCAATCATCAATGGGTATCAATCATCAATACAGCAGCAGCAGAAGGCAACAAAAACAAGCAGCTGTGCAGCTGTGGGATGACAAATTCCTCGCGTTCCGTCATAGATGACTTTTTTTTGTGACCTGTTTTTGGCAAGACACAAAAAACGCACACAGCGGGAGGAGGGGTCGCGAGGGGCGGGGAGTGAACAGGGAGGGGAATATACTCACACTGAAATCATTTTTGGTAAAGTCAACACCGCGTATAAACGGTAGGACACTCATTTTGATAAAATCCACATAAAATTGATTTAAAAAACGACTACTCCGGGCGACGGCGACGACGGCGGACACGAAGATAAGCCACAAGCTGGCCTGGCCCTGTTCTTGTTATTGCTGCTAGCTATTCCTATTTCCACTGAATGATGTGTGTGGTGGTGGTAGCCAGGCCTCTGGCCAGGTGTGGAGCAGCTCTATAATTGGTGTGGCCAGCAACCTGCCACTACATACAATTTGTACACATCGATTGGATCGCTTAATAGGCAGTTTTGAGGCCTGGTCACCCTGATTACTCAGCTGCTGCGTGCGGATGAACGCCGATTAGTTTAACCAACACTATAGTGCTGCAAAACTCCTCAAATAACTTGTTATCGATATGTATATATCGCATAATATGCAGAGAATAATTTACAGAAAATAACTTAAAATATTTATAGATTCTTAAAGCAATGTATTTATTTCATATATAAAATTATCAAAATATTTTCACTTCATAGTTTTTTATAATAGTCCATCACCAGAAATTCGAAATTCCCAGGGCTGGAAAACGAATCCGTTAGTGCATTTAACCGAAATATATGAATTTAAAACGTACTGATCAAGGTTGATATTCCTCAAATTTGAACGGCGAATTACGATTTTCAATAAACTTGTAATCAAGATCTGCCCGGCGGCTTAAAAGCTGTTGCGAATGCCCAAAGCAAATTGCCGAATACCAACTGCAGCCCTGGCACAATAATACTGAGGGTGGAAACTTGCGCACGCACCGTACTGAGAGCTTGCCTGTTTTGGGGGTTTCGAATCGGAGGAGTCGGGTCGTGAGTCTAGTCGAGTCTCCTGTTTTTATCCTGTAAAATACTGAACGTGCCTCTACGGCATATCAACATCGTATGCATAATCTAGAGGGTGTGACCAAATTGAACGACACAAAATTTTCATACTTTGCTCAGTCTTCGGAATGTGAAGGTCCTGCTCGTGTTTCCTTTCAAAAAACTCAAACGAAACAACACTGAAACAAGAGCAACAAAAGCCATTTAGTTAAACAATAAGTCAAATAAAGCGTGTTTTACAATATAGAAATGTCAAGGCCAAGGATTTGTCGCTTAAAAGTGGAATAAAAAGTAATAATCATTTCGAATCAGCGGGATGCGGTGTACTCGTCGGTACACTCGGGCTTGATAAGCCCCCGAGAACTGGACGGAAATGGGGGAATATGAGGCTTTGTTTGTTGTGAAAAATTGTGTACCCATTTGGGTGGTCCCTGCCAATAACTGGGAGTTGTGTGCTTGATTTTAGTGGAATCATTGTTGGAAACCAAAAAATGTCGTATAAACATTTAAGCCTCGATAAGGGGGAACTTTAATTTATTCCTTCACTGTTCTGTTTTTGAAGTGATTTTGAACACACATCTATTGCTGCAGTTCGAGGGCGGGTGCATGTGTGCGTAAGTGTCGTCTGTGTGTGTTTGTGCGTGATTTTGTTGCTATTACTAATGCAGCAACGTTGTTGCATTCGTTTTAATGCCCATGGAAACCCCTAAGAGTAAACTACATAAATGTTGCATTTCGTGGTGATGCAGCAGTCCGTGAGAGAGGAGAAGAAGGATGAGGGAGAAGTGGGCGCAGCAATTACGAGTGCGTGGTTGGTGTGTTCGGTTCGGCATGAAGCGAGACGACTTTGCCAAAGGAGGAATAAGGAAGCAGAGCGAACTTTTAATCAATAGATATATAAACACACGCACACACATGCACCCATCTACTCACGAAGTCACACACAGGGCGAGGGAGCAAGCGAAAGAGAGAGAAAGAGCGAATTCAGAGAGCGAATAGGACAAACAAAGGCAACAATAATGGGAGCAGCAACAACAACAGTTATACTTTTAAAACAGCAAGGCAGTGCGCGCATAGGGAGCATACAGAGAGAGAGAGAGTGAGAGAGTTTCCAGGCCAGGCCAGAGAGCGAGCACGCCTGTTACCGTTACTGTTGTTCTTGTTGCTGGATGGAGAATAGGATGGGGGATGGCATGGCTGCTGCGGCAGGCTGGCAGGAAGAGGAAGACAAGTGAACAAAATTGCTATTGCGCTGCCCAGGCCGCAGCAGCATTAATAAGAAGGAAGGAATAAAGGCGGAGACGCCAAACAACAGCTTTTTTAGGGTGTGCAAAATAAAAGTGTAAAACGCGGTAAAGCAAGTCCAACATGCAATAAAATAATGTTTAACTAAAGTGCATGAATGTGGGCGTACATGAGGCAACGGCAACCTACTTATTGAGTAATTAAGGCCATGCCCACACATGGGCATGCGTACGCCCACACATACTGCATGTTAGGATGTGTGTGTATGCAGGAACCGTTTGGTTCATTGAGGTGCCCGCTGATGTGTGTGTGGTGTGTGAAAGGGAGACAGCGAGTGAAAAGTGTAAATTTGTAGATCGGTGAAGGCAAGTTCTGTTTATTAAAGGTGAGGCATTACCAGGAAACCCCATTGGGATAAATTTGTAGCTGTAAAAAATAATAAATACAACTCTGGATAGGGTGTCAGTTAGAGAATTGCAGAGGCAAACGGGAAATTCGCAAGATTTACGGTAAAACTAACAGAAGCAGCTGGAGCTGCCCCTCTCCCCGTTTCTCTCTTTTTTTTTGCATATTAAATCTCCTCGTACTTACACACATTTTCCAACGCTCTGCTTTGCTCTACACCCAATTTACCCCACCCCCGAAACGACACACACAGTGCACAACAATTTGGATTTGGTGTCAAGAGGTTAGGAAACGCCGCAGCCCCGTGAGCACGTAGAGCGTGTCAGAAGTGACGTCCAAACCCACCAACAACAAAAGGAACGGGGGGGAAAGCAGACACAAGAGGGAGGACACACACTCATCTCACACTCGCATACACACACGCTCAAGAGGAGTGCGAGAAATCAAAGGAGTGCGAGAGCAAAACCGTTAGGGGCTGCCCAAGAGAAGAGCGAGAGTCGTGCAGGATGGGCGACTATCACGAGTTTACGGATCAATACAAGGTCCCGGTGATAGCCAAGCTGCTCCATGCCCTGCCCCACTACAACATCACATTCCACAAGATCAACAGCACGTTCCGGCCCAACGATGAGATCTACCTAGAGGTGAGCAAAGATAAATAAATAAATATTGCTAAAAACTAAATCTAAAACTATGTATGTTTACATTGTGGGACAATTTCTTAAATATAGAAGAAGATAAATAAATATATATTCCGTTGGGCGGATAACTTTAGAAGGCTTGAAGTATGTTTAAGTATGTTTTATGGGGATAACTTCGTTTCATTCTTAGATTTTGTTCTTAAATTCCAATTTCGAGCTGTTGTCCGCCACAAATATTTTGACTCTGTTTGTCTACAACGACTGTAACGACAGGTGTCCAATCAGAAGAGTTTTCACTGTACAATTGCTTCCTACTTCAATTACAAATTTATCGGTTTTATTTGCACAGAGTCTGGGCATCCTGGGATCGGTGCCAGCGGCGCTACTTATCGTCTCGCTGCTGGGACTACTCTTCTATCTGATGACCAGATGCTGCGACCGGAAACCCCGCCCGGCCCATTCGATAACCAGCCTGAAGGTGGCCCTCTCGATTGTGACTGTGATGTGCTGTGCCGCCATCGGCCTGGGCCTTTACGGAAACGACGATCTGCACAATGGATTGCTCGAGGTGCTGACCGCCGGACGGAAGGTGGACAATCTTGTGACGACCATCAGGAATCAGACGCACATACTGGAGAACACGCTGACGAATCGCATCAGGCCGCAGCTGGTGGAGCTGGCGGATATTTTCGATCAACCGGTGTCCAATCAGACGGCTCTATCCAAGCTCTTTGTTTCGCTGAACATTGTCCAGGGCAATGTGACCTTGGCCACGAATGCAGCCAGCGATATACGACGACCCCTGATGGGCATCTCCATGACACACTTTCTGACAGTAAGTCCGGATGCACCCCTTGTTAGAAACTCCTCTATATTTTCCCGCTTTCCATTTTTGTTTTTTCTCTCTGAAGCGCGGCGACCAGTGGGAACTGATACGCTGGCCGGGCACAGTGGCTACCCTAGCCCTACTCCTTGTCCTTTGTGCTGTTCTGCTAGTGGGCGTGGCCAGGCACTCGCGATGCGCCCTGATACTCTTTAGCGTGTGCGGTCTGCTGGCCGTAACTGGCTCCTGGCTGATGTCCGGCCTGTATCTCTCCTCCTCGGTGGCTGTGGGCGATCTGTGCATAAGCCCAGCGGATTTCCTGGTATCCACGGCCCCCCGGGACCTGCCCACGAACGTGCTGCTGCACTACACCCAATGCGAGCCGGGGCACACGAACCCGTTCACCCAGCGGCTGCGAGAGTCGCAGAACTCGCTGAACAATGCCCGCAGTGCCATGGCCACCGTGATGAAGATATCCCTGGTGCTGTTCAAGTCCTCGGGCCTGCAGCCGAAGCTGGGAGCGGTGAATGCAGATCTCAATAGCAGCGAACGGCTTCTGACCCAGCTGACGGCTCTGGTCGATTGCAAGGCAGTGCATCATAACTTTCTGGCAGCCGCCCGGGGACTCTGCGAGGGAGGATTGCTGGGACTGGTGCTGATGCTGATTGCCAGCTTCATTGCGGCCATACTGCTGACGATTATGGTGTGGGTGGACTCGCACACGTGGATCTACATACGCAAGCGGAACGACTATGCCCAGGTGGATGAGCCGTCATATATATCGCATCCGGCACCGCAGAACCATCAGCAGATGATGAACGCTGCCCGGACTTTGCCGCGCAATCATAATGGGTATGTTTTGGCCGATGCACCGGGGTGATCCCCCCGTTGGGTGATTCGCCCCCACTCGTGTCCTGCCGTAGCTTGAACCCAACCCGTTTCCCGCCTCCATTCTCTCTCTCTTCTCTCTCTCTCTCTCTCTTTCGATCTCTGTGCATCCGGTGTCGTTGCAGGCACTTCAGCCCGCCGGTTATCAGCGGCTCGCACACACTCCAGCATCCCAGCAAGCGGCAGCAGCACGAGATGATGGCCCACGCACACATCCAGCAGAACATGCGGGCCATGGGTACCCACACGCTGGGACGACTTCCGTCGCATAATCACAGCCCCACGCACATGACTGGTAAGTGGTACCCACGAAATCAGCGTGGATCAGCGCCCGTACACTCGGTACATACCACGTCACACCCACACCCACAAACCATGTATTTTCTCTCTCTCTTTATCTATCTATCTATCTATCAATCATTATATGGATCTTTATTGTTGATCTGTCGGGAGCCTCAATGGGGTTCGGAAATCGAATTGAGCTGTGGATTGTGGCTAGTGGTTTTTAAACCAAACTAAACGAAGGCTTTTTCCGATTTTAAACTGGGTTTAGAATACATTCCATGTATCTATCCATATCCTTAGAGTGGAATATCGCTTAAATGGTTTGTTAGCTTATGATAGTGGATAACTTCTAGAAGATTTGGCTAAAAAGCGATAGAAAAACGGTTCGTAATAGATTTATAAGACAAGCATAACTATTTAGATTTTAGTACTACATATTTCCACTAGCACCAGTTGCTGATTGAACCCTAAGTGGCATATATGTGAGATAAGTTGTTGTTTAAAATCGGTTTTTGTGCAAATAGTTACCCACCCTTTCAGTTTACGGATATGTTCGAATAACGATATACATATAGCCTGTTAATAACCGATTCATGGCCTATTTTCGACTTAAAAGCAACGCTTATCCTTTTAAAAAACATACATTTCTCTATAAATGTTACAAAAATAGGATGGTAGGCCAGGTGCAATTTTCCGAATATACCGCAAAAAAGTTTTTAAAGATTAAAAAACTGCTTTTTGCAGACTTGCGCACTTTCATAGTTTTCAGTCGGCATCTGCAGCTGCAAAAATTGATGGATTATAAAGAGAAGAGTATGACCTTTCATGTGATATTTGATTTGTGTAGAAGCAATGGATCTACCAAGCCAAACTTTAGGTTTTTTAACATTTTTCATGCCCAAGAAAAGTGTACTGGGTTTTCATGCATTCTCTGTTTTTTGTTACTGGATTCTGGGACTGACGATTCTGAGTAGGCAGCGGGGGGATTGGTCAGAGACGAAGAACAGGTGAACACCCGTGCGCCGCCTCTGTTGACGGGGCATGACGATAGCACCCCGCCGTAGATAAAAGATGAAATGAAATTGTAGATCCAATAGCTGGAATTTCGAATCAGTAGCATATCTCCAAACTGCTCGGACAACAGGCGTGTTTTATCTATAGCTCAATTCGTTCTCATGGTTTCTTTGTATCTTTGGATCTTTCTTTACATGCAATGTATGCGCCCATCTATCGTCCATCGCTGCATTGACTCGTCGACCTCCTCATCCTGCATCCGCATCCGCATCCACATCCACATCCGTATCCGCATCCGTATCCTCCATCCGCCTTGCTAATTGAAATGTGTGTTGTGTGTGGCTTTTTGTAGGTCCCAATAATGGTAAATATGCAACCCTAAGCAAACAATGCAAAACTTTGGAAGCCAATGACTTTTACTGAAAACCGTCGCCACCCCCCGCAGCAGCAGCAGCCGCAGCCGCTTCCGCACTCGCCGCCAATATGCCGCCCACAACACAGGCCCAGGTCCAGGCCGCACAGGCGCATGCCCAGCAGCAGGCCCAGCAACAGCACCAGCAGCAGCAACAGCAGCAGCAACAGCAACAAATGGGAGGACCCCAACCCATTTACTGCCATCATCCACACCAGCACCCACACCCGCATCCGCACCAGCATCAGCATCCGCACTCGCATTCGGCTGCCGCCGTGGCCGCTGCGGTCCAGCATCAGCACGCCATTTACCACCAGCAGCAGGCCCAAGCCCAGGCACAGGCCCAGCAATATGGCACCTATACGACGGCGGCGGCGGCGGCGGCAGCGGCGGCCCATCATGCCCCGCATCACCTGCCGCCGGGTCAGAGCCAGATCTATCAGCAGATTCCGGCCCATCTGGCCCCTCAGCTGGCCGCCAATGGGAATCCGCATTCGATCTACCAGCCGCTGGTGGCCGTCAGCCAGGGCTCAATTTATGTTTCCAATCTGGCCACGATGCGGCGGCAGAATAGCCAGGCTGGACCACAGATACCGGCCCATCATCATCCGGGGGCAGTACCGCCACCCAATCCCCACCAGCAGCAGCAACATGCCCAGCCCCCGCCGCCGTCGCAGCAGCAGCAACAGCTGCACCAGCTCAAGTCGCCTCAACAGCACCAGCCACATCCCCAACAGCAGCAGCAGCAGCATCAGCATCCGCACCCGCACCCGCAGCAGCCCGAGTCGGATGTAGTACCCATTAGCACTGCAATGGACACGGCCATCTACGATCGGGATAAGCAGATCTACAAGTGCTCCACCCTGCGGCAGGGCGGAAAGTTTGATCCCAAGTACAAGCCCTCGATTCTGAATTGTCCCTTGCCGGAGATACCCAAAGATGCGGAGCAGCCCAAGGTGGAGTCCATCTACCAGCAAAAGCAGCAGGCGCATCATCAAAACTATTCCAAGTAGGTATTGCCTCCGATCTGTATTCGTACTATCCTTTGAAAACTCCTCCTCGCCCCCTGCCAGGACCCTGCAGCGACCGCCGATGAAGCTGCCGCCGCAGATGAAAGCCATTCCACCGCCCCGCATTGGAACGCCCACATCGCCACCACCGCCATCTGCACAGCCCACGCAAATGCTGAGCGAAAGCGGAGGAGCCGCCGTCGTGGGCCTCCAAAACGGTGGCCCCAACAACAACAGCGAGGACACATCACTGCCACCGCCGCCGCTTGAGGCACAGACGGCACATCATGTGGAAGCGACTCCCCCCAAGGCCCGGATGGGACAGGCGGCCAATGGAAAGGCGGGCAACGGTCTGGCCCTACACAACGGCGGAGGAAGCGTCGCCACAGCGGCTGGAGTGGGCTCCACAGTGGATGATGATGATGATCTACCGCCGCCGCCGCCAGCGATAACCGACGAGAGCAACTATGCGGTGACCGAGCTGTAAAAAGGAATAGCAATGGGAATGGGAATGGGAATGGGAATGTAATTGAAAACGGGCTGGGATGGGCTTGGGCTTGGGCATGGGTTTTGGCGTCTTCCAGCGGACATTACTTCTAGACTTTTTTGTATTATAGACACATGGCGCGAGAATGAGATGGATTAGAACAAAAAGGAGATGGGGTGGGGTGGAATTAGTGGCGACTGTTCCTGTTTCTTGATTTGTTGCATTTATCGTAATCGTATCCTACAACCGGAATCCTTCTTTGTGCATCCTATGCAAGTGAAAGCTATTACGATGGATAGCCCACAATTCGACTTTTGTATATACTATACACTAGACCTTACGTATATATCTAAATCTACATGGGATATATATAAATATATACACTATAAACGCACACAGACAGACCGACAAAACTCGTGCATATTTAGATATTTGACTTATACTATATATATACTATATATATATATACCATACTATATATAGAACATATATGTAACATATATCAACGATCTATGAATTCATATAAGTCTATAAAGACACGGTTATTCCTTTTTGATAATAGCATATTTTTACCAATCGCTACAGAAACACTTTTTAAAATTGTTAAAAGACAACAATTTTAAAAAAATTTATTTAAAAGCCAAGAGACAGACAGCAATTATGGGGACAAGAATATTGTAATATACAACATTAATCTATAAACAAAAACAAAAGGATAAATCTTCACCCAGAAAATTAAAATCGGGATCGTAGTTTATAAGTTCTAGGAATCGAAATGTAGTTGAAAGTTAGCAAACGTGTTTTTTTTATGTACTTATGGCACTTGTCGAGAGTCAATTTTTATCTAGAAACACGGGCCTCTGAATCCAAATGTGTGTGTGTGGAAGATGTGGGGGCAAATCCTTCAATATTCCTATATTTCCTTAAAGGAAATCAATATTCCTTAGATCTGTTGATATTTTTAATAATTGGTTAATTCGTATATGTATGTTCAGTTGTCGAAAACGATAATCAAGCAATCATTCAACTAATACTATACTCTGTACATTGCATGGTAAATAGATCGATTTCTCCTATCAGTAAGCTCTTTCGAACAGAATTTTGCATTTAAACTGATTCACTGAACTATTTTATAGTGCGTGATGTGTGATAACTATTTTTAACTCTAGTCATTCCAACATTGGAAATCTGGATATCCTGGGAAAATCTGTTAACATGACTCTTCTGGCTTCAAATAGTGAATAACTGAATGATTGAATTATTGATTACTTTTAAAAGGTCACTCCAACAGATATTCCTTGCCCCCATATTTCCACGCATCTCCAAGCATTCGGTTCGGATGGCCGGTGGTAGTAGGTAGTGCTCGACTCTGTCCTGTGTCTGGGTTGTGCGTCAGGTTGATCCAAAGATTGCGGATCGCCTGGGACTGGCTGGGGGTTGAATCGATTTAGGAACGGGCAGACAGACGAGACGAACGGAACGAGTAGACTTCGTTTGGATTTGACCCCTGCGATTTTATTGTGTATCTAACCTAAGCTTAACATGGAATGCATTTATTATACATAAACTAGCACATATGAATATACAACTATACAACTATACACACAGGAACACGAACAACCAACAAATAAATATATACATTACAGTATAGATATATAATTGGAATATATAGTAGTACTAACTGTACATTTAGTAGCTAAACGAAAGGCAGGAAGGGGAACGAGCCCAAGCATACATACATATATGAAGTACGAGTATAGCTTAAACCAAACGAAGACAAACGATAACCAGAAAAAAACGAGATTTAGATTCTAGACTTGTCATTGGAACCGAATAGCAATATATGAACTAACAGAACAGATCATAACAGAAAGTACTGCCCTCCCAACAACTAGTCTTTCCCCCAGAAACTGACAAAGAAGACACCAAACTGCAAAGTTAAATAGATATATATATGATATATATTAAATATAGCTAGTTATATATACAGACACACAAATGCCTATCAACTACGAGTATACTGCAGCAAAAGCAACAGAAAAAGCAACAGCAAACCCGCAAAGAATAATCGATCGAGTTGTGGGGATAGAGTTCCTTTTAGAGGAATTCCCCGAGTCAGAGTAGAGACCAGACCAGAGGCCAACGAAGCGACGAACGAGGCCAACCAACTAAGGCAACCCCGAACACTGCCCGAAACACACAGCGAAAGTTCACAACATTTACAGATATATTGAATAGCTATATACATAGATACTAATATACATATATTCGTAAAAACAAACCTTCACTGATAACCAATCAGTGATCATATTATATACACTAAATCGCAATGAAATGATCAATTGTAAAATATTAACGATGGAGTAGTACTCAAGACGAAATTTACCCAATAATCTTACAAAAAAAAGAAACAAACACACACTGGAAAAATAACGTTTTTAAAAGTAAATATGTATAGATCGTGTAAAGACAAAAAAATGAACAAACTAATCAAGTTTTTTTATTCGCTTATTATACAAATACAAAGTACATATGTTATACACAACCAAGCAAAAACAAAAACAAAAACAACCAGAAAATTATTTAAAAACGCAACCCCTTTTAGAGAGATTGTATGTAAAGCTCTTCTCCACCGGGGGGAGGTTTAAAAAAACTTTAAATTAAACACTAAAAAAAACCGAACAGAATCGGTTCGAACCTTAATAGGGGATCCCCCATTCAGCCCCAAAAAAGAAAAATAAAGGTACCAAGAAACGTGAACCCCCCCAAGAAGAGAGATCCATTTGGTCTTGACCGTTTCGGACCTAGGTCGAAATTACATTCAAACATAAAATTAATATTATACATATATATATAAATACATATATATATATATAATAATATTACATAATTAGTTCGTAAATATATTTCTGTGTTAAATGTTGTCATCGTACGCGTTGTAGTTATTACAAAACAAAAGAAGCAAAACATAAAACAAACAAAATACAGACAAAGCAAGGTTATAAAAAAAGATGAAGAAAAAATCCGCAAACTGAAGAATTCAAAAATCGAAACAAAATTAGCGAAAATAGCGATTCTTTTCGAAGGCTCAACGGCAGCAGCAATAAGCAGCAAAAACATAAGACAAGATCCAGTTGTACAACATATGCATACATACATATATACTTATATAACTATTTATATAGTATATATGCAGACATATAATTAGTTAAAGAGAATGTAAAGAACAGAGGCAAAAAATGGAACCGCTTAGTTGCATATTAAACAAAAAATTAAATCTAACAAATCATAAGAAAAGTTTGAACACTCTTGTAAGGAATAAAAAACGAAACAAAATTTAATTAATAAGTGTGTGTCTCCAGAAATCCGTTTCCCCCAGAAAAATATTCGGGATGGCACCGAAATGGGTGGGGCGGGGAGTCAAAAATGTCTGGATTGAAAATATTTTATGCGCAGAAATAGAAAACAAAAACACAAGAAACGAATGGGGAAACGGAAATAACAAGACAAAACCCCCCTGGATGGAAACATTTATTTCAGAAGCAAGCAGCAACAAATTAAAGCGCTAAAAAAAACCCAACAAAAATATTAAATAAAATATAAATATAAAATTTAATTGCATTAGTTAGATGGAGAAAATTTGTTTTAATGGGAGAAGCGGAAAGTCAAAGATTAAACATTACTCAAGGGTAAGATAGCTAAAGCGTATAGACAGATCTTAAAGAAGGTAAAGCTTCTGGCTTCCACTTTAGAGTATTTGAAAAAGATAAATCTAACCATCCATTGTATCTGTAGCTGTTGTTATTATAGTTTTAGGAACAATCAACTGATATGAGCGAGTCCCTCCAGAAAATTGTGCAGTTCTTGATAGTATTTAATTCGTACCATGTTTGTGTTAAATTTGACCCAAAAATTCAACGGAACCAAATTTGTTTTCTTTGTTCAGCTTTGATTTTGCGTAAGCAGCACCTCGGATAAGATTAGATATGATAAACTGGATAAACATTAATTAGTGTAGGACGGCTAGAGAAAAAAAGACACCATCTTTGTCTAAATTATTACACAATTTATTTTTGTCTGTTTGTTTGTTGCTTCTATCATATTTTGTGCAGAATTTGTTTTCTTTTTATAGCAGCATTTTGTATAATAAATATATTTTATTATTAAGTATATTTCTTTCATTTCTTTTGTGGTTTCTCTCACTTATATAGCTTCTTAAAAAAATTAGAATAGAGCAATTTAGTGCCACACACAATTGAACATTGAACAATTGCCAAAATATATATGTATATATACATATATATACATCTTTCTCAAAGGTACTTGCATCGGAATAATAAATACAAATAAGGAGATAAAATATAATCAAAGCATTAAACAAAAAAAAACATATATGGGTTGACAGGGAAAATTCTGTTGGATTTTCGCTCTTTTTCGGCTTGGGATTAGAGACAACAACAACAACAATGATCGGAATAAAGTATAATAAAATTTATATAAAATAAAATGTATAAGATCATAAAAATAGGCAATATATAAATACATAGCAATTTTATAGGTTTTTCTTTTCAAATTTGTATAAGAGAAAAATCTTTGGAATTGTTGGTTTTTCATCTTCTCGTTTGAAGGGTTGTTAGGTTTTGTTTTAAGGGGAAGGTGGTGATTTGGGCTAAAGCCAGCCTTCTATATAATATTCTTTTCCTTTTTATAGCTCTGTTCTGCGGTTTGCTAAGCCTTGTCATCCTTGTCGTTGTCCTTTGATATTTGCTTTGCGGCCATTCGCTCTAGAAATCAATTCATGAAGCTGGGGCTGTGCCTGGGCCTAAGTTAAGTTATCTTTTTCATTTTTTTTCAATAATTACTTTTGCTCTTAATTATTGTTAATTGCACTGTTTGCGGCCACCAATTCGGGGACGACCGAGGAGCTGGCACTGCTCTGGCTGACAGTCCGAGCATGATCCACATGGTTCAGAGTGGGCGGAGGTACTGCTGCTGTGCCTATCGTACCTGCACCGCCTGAATTCAAGCCCATTTCGGGGACGTCAGG